CAGTACAGCAAGACAAAAAAAACAACACACATACACCAAACAAAAATGAAAACAAACCAAATAGCTAGACTTTTTTTTTTTTTGGCATATGGAATTTGAACTCAGGGGCTCATACTTGAGCCATGCCTCCAGCTCAAATAACTAGCATTCTTAAAAATTATGTTTTCCATATGAAAAAAGAGCTCATTAAATGGCATTTCAGATGACAAACATGTTGAACTGTTTCGTATTAAGAACTCTTGAAACCTGGTGGAGTGGCTCAAGTGTAAAGCACCTGCCTCACAAGCATGAGGACCTGAGTTCAAACCCCAGTACCACGCTAAAAAAAAGAAAACTCTGAAGGAGGACCAGGGGCATAGCTCAAGTGGTAGAGTGCCTGCCTAGCAAATAGGCGGCCCTGAGTTCAATCCCTAGTGCCACCAGACAGATGATAAAACAGATAATCTCAAAACACATCTAATCATGAGTCACTTGTGAAAGATAAAATACTTGTGGTATTTAATTTGGCAGTTCTAAACCAGGGATGTACCTCTGAATCTGGGAACCTATCTATCAAAATGCACATGCCAAAGCCCTACCACTAAGCTCCCTCTACAATTCTGCTACACAGAGCTAAACCAATGAACTGAATGAGCTTCTCACCTATTTTTGTTGTAATGGTGGGCATTTCTTGGGTTGGGGCAAGGAGGGACAATAACATTAAAGTAATAGTCTCAAATGTATAGTGGCAAGAATCTTGATTCTTTTCTCCGTATTCTATCTCTTGTGTCTTCTTTATATATACCCAACTCTATTTAGACAGAGTTGGATAATATGTTTTAAATGCTCTCATACTAGTTGCTTATTTAATTTTGCTCTGCTAAGCTTGCCACTCAACAAGACAACAGGATTACCATTATTAAAAATAAATTCTTCCAAAACCAAAAAGTATGATTAGAAACATTCATCTAATCACACATATATCTAAAACATGTACCTAAATCAGCATTTTAAAAGCAGACTATATTACAAATTTTAAAAACAATGTTAACAATCAAAGAAATCCAATTTATTGAAAAAACTACTCAATTTACTAAGGACAATATTTTGTTATACTAGCTTTATAACTTTTCTTCATAGTAATAAAATACTAAAAATCTTCTCAATATTGAGGCACTGTACAAATAAAATATCAATCAACTAAATCTAAAATTTGCCTTTGGGATTCTATTAGATAGTGGGGAATATTCTCCCAAGAAGGATGATGGCCTAGGCTAACAGTTATGACCAAACAAAGTTATGAAAGCAGTAAGAACGAAGAACAGCAGAATCTTTACAACAGCTGGTCAAGTAAAAAAACACACTAATTCATTTTTGTATGGCACTTTATAAATGACACACTTTATTATCACACAAATGTAATTACTGTATTAAAAGAATATGAGGAAACTTGAAATTTGGAATTACTGCTGAAAACTGTTAAAAAATGAATCTTAAAATATGCATGAATAGATTAATTTCATATATAATATAAAATGGGTCACTCAGCATTTCTGTGAATTGTTATTTTCAAGGTGGCATAAAAAAGTGGCATAACTGCCACATATTGTACAGATTTTTGTTAAAGCCAGTACCTAAAAGTGCAAAATATTAAAAAGGCTCATACTTGCTGTGGGATTTTCTATAATTCTAGTATTGAAATATATTAATTTTTAGAATATCTTGACACTACATACATTTAAGCGCTTTTATCTTTTTAAGACCATTTTCCTCAAAAAGGGAAAGGAAAAAAAATAAATCATCTTTTTCACCATGATGCCTTCACTATTTCCTACAAGAATAGAAGCTGTATTAAGGAAACGAACAAAAACATAAATATAATTCAAAGAGGCATACATGACTAAGGGGCTCTAAACTTCTGAGTTCTGACATTAATGATTATCAGTGATTTCTAGATAGGTAGTTATCTATCACACACAATCTGTCATTTCTAAAGCAAAAATGAATTAAGTACCTTGTTCATAGCAGAGATAGGCAACCACCCATTTTGCCTTTGTGCTAAATCCAGAACTGGAAGCACAGCTGCTGCTTTATGCCCTTCTGGATAGTTTTTAACAATTGCCTCTATCCTCTGTATAAAAGAAAAAGCATCCATTTTATATGTCTGGAAGATACTAAATATTTTCTATATTAGTTATAGTGTTAATTTAGTCTTACCTTATAGTTTTCTGGTGTGAAATCAAATGGGGTATCTGGGTTATTCTCAGGAGTATCTCTGTGCTTCACAAAGAAAAAAAAAAGTTTTCCAAAATTATCTGTAAAATGTGAGTAACGCTGTACTTTACTATTACTGATCATTTCATCTCCACTTTAAGTCCAACACACTATGGGTCTAGCTCCATGTCTATCTATCCTTTCTGTAAGAAGAATAACTTAAAATACACATTTGATGACTGATTACAATGGAAAAATTAGAATTCAAAATTTTAGAAACTTAGAAAGCACCCTTTAAAGGGTAAGAGAAATAACTTCAATAAAAAAAAGTGTTATCCAACTTCATCAGGAATAGGACCTTCTAATTCAATCACCAAAATATTACCAATTACTGAAGTCTTATGAAATTAAAGACACTTTTTTTTTTTTGCTGTACTAGGATTTGAACTCAGGGACTTACACTTGCCAGGTAGGTGCTCTACCACTTGAGTCCTTCTGCAGCCCAGACACAAAATTTTGGGTATGAACATTTGTGCATTTTTTCAAAATCCAGGGTATCAGATTAACAAAGGAATCTGAGGTCCAAAAAGGTTTTAGAGAGGTAAAAAAAGTACATCTTCCCCACGTTTTCAAAAAACAGACACTAGCCAAATTAAGAAGCTTTAGGGATGTGAAGGAGATGTGGCTGTGACATCTGTCACCCCACTGATTGCTAGGGTTGATTCAGCTGGTCTTGTCTCCATATGCATCCCTCTGAAAGTTGCTTGAAGAGGATGACCATCCCCAATAGGGGAGGATCCTTCTTCAGTCAAGGTTATATGAGTAGCTGTACTCTCCTGCTAGAATCTCCAAACAAGCTCTTAAGAAACTTTAGGGATGGATGTGGGTGGCTCACGCCTATAATCCCAGCTACTCAGGAGGTAGAAATTAGGAGGATTGCAGTTCACAGCAGGCTGAGGTAAAAATTAGTGAGACCTCCATCTCAACAAACAAGCTGGGCATGGTGGTTCATATTTGTAAGCCCAGATAGGCAGGAAGAACAAGAGGATCACATTCCAGGCTCATCCAGACAAAAAGCTCTCATGTCTGAAAAATACCGAAAGCAAGAAGGGCTAGTTATGTAGCCCAACTGCTAAAGTGCTTGCTTAGCAAGCAGAAGGCCCTGAGTTTAAACTCCAGTACCTTCACTCCTCCCACTCCCACTCTCCCAAAAAGCTTTAGTTCTTCTCCTTAAGAGCAGAGCTGGCTTTCTTAAAAAAAAAAAAAACCCTGATACTAGCATGTCAACAGAAAATTAAGTTAGTTAAACTGAGATTAACACATCAATTAATGTTTTGTATATACGGTGAATACAGAATTGAATGTCTTGATAACTTTCAGACTTTTGCTTTTTAAAAGGACATTCAACCAAAATAAGAAATAAAATGGAACTTGACAATCATTTCAAATAGGTGGCCAATTTGATGTTTTTAGTCACAGGTGATAAAGCAGAATGCTACTAATTATACTACTAACTCTAAATCATCATACAAGTCTACTTCGTTGCCTTTAGGAATTAGATTAATTCCTAAAAACATCATATCAAAATAAATAGACACAGTATCTAATTCCTCTCTGTTCAACAAAACTGGGGTGTTTCATAGACTTCTATCAGTAGTTAAACCATGGAAACAAAATAATAAAGGCCAATTCTAATATATCCACATTACTATACTCTGTTTCAAACTAGTGCCATTTTAGGATTTCCCAAGTGTCAATCCCAGGACCTTCAGCAAGCCAACATGAATACTTTTTAGACCCCAAAGTTTGTGAGCATCAGATTAGGGCTCACAGTAATTTCACTAAAGAAGAATCTAAATTCTTATTCCCAGAGTTTCCCTGTTGCCAGTTTATATTTGAGAGATTCAGCTGGAGTCACACATCTTTTGAAATGTAGTGAATTCAGTAAGCTCTATTTAAATCACCACAATGGCCAACATATACCAAACACCAATGTTTTAAGTTTCTTTTTTTCCCCTCTGTAGTTCTGAGGACTGAACCCAGAGCATCAGATGTGCTAGTCAGAAGTGCCTTACCACTAAGCGATACTCCCACCTCCCTATTTGAAGAATTTTTATTACTTACCACAAATAAGGCCCCTCCAGCACCATTTTGTACAGTTGACTTATGCAAATTCCTTATATGTCTTCCCTAAAGTTTAAAATTTTAAGAAAGCTTAGTAAGTCACAAACCATAAGAAATTTTTCAAAGTTAATACTTTAAAATTCACAATTTAAAACAATGGAATTAAGTTATAAAAATTAAGGATCTTAAGAGAGGTATTCACTTAGAGGTACAAGAAAATGGAGATCCAAAGGCAAGGTTATAACTTGCCTAAAATCACAGGGAAAGCATCAGTGGAAGCACCATGAGCACAACCCAGACCCACTGACTTGTATGCTATTTCTACTACACTTTGCTGCATGCATTTGCAGAATTAATGTACCATTAACTTATTGCATTTCACTTTTGTCTGAATTGAGTTGAATGCCAGCTTTTGTTTAATACGACCCTTCTTAAGTGTACACAACTCACACGAGAAGTATTTGAGTACAAATGAGTCAACAGTATCCTGCTTTTTGATTCTTGTTTTTTTGAGACAGGATCTCACTATGGAGCTCAGGCTGACCTCAAATTTACAATCCTCCTGCCTCAGCCTCCCTAGTGCTAAGATTATAGACATGCACCACCACACCCAGGTGCCTTTTCAATTCTCTTACTAAATTAGTTCAGCAACTCCAACCATACAAGCAGTTTCAGAAAGTTACCTATAATGTTGTGCAGATTAACAATGTATAACTACTTTGGACGGAATTTGATTATTCTATTGTATTTCAGTTCTCTCTGTTCTCTGGCTTCTCCCCTTCTGAGTTCTACGAACCAGAGATGGCAGAACACTGAATAAACCAAGCATGGAACTGACAAAAACTTGAATGATTCATAAAAAGCTAACAGAAAAGATTAAGAGAAGAAATACAGCACAATATCATTAATAAAGCTTTGAAAAATTAACTGAAACCAAAATTAAGAAGACAGTCACTTTAGCTGAGAACATAATTTTTTAAAATCCTAACCATTTTGAGTAACATTAGTGAAAAGAACACCAGCGCTGATGGTACATGCCTGTAATTCTACCACTAGAGAAGCTAAGGCAGGAGAATTGTGAGTTCAATTAAAATTTGAGGCCAGTCTGGAATACATAGTGAGATCCTGTCTCTAATTGATTAATTAACCCATAATAAGGTAATGATTAATTTTAATGTAAGGATTAATTTAAATCAGGTGCCGGTGACTCACCCCTATAGTCTTACCTATTTGGTAGGGTGAGATGGGGAGGATGAGGTTTGAGGCCAGCCCCTGCAAATAGTTTGTGAGACCCCCATCTCCAAAACAAACACAGCAAAAATGAACTGGTTGTGTGGCTCTACAGCACCTGCTTTGCAACTGTAAAGTCCTGAGTTAAAACCCCAATATAAAAGATTAATTTATAAGTAGGAAAGGTATTTCATCCTTTATTTCCTTAACTTCTGCACCCTAACATACTCACTTTATTGGCTTTTATCCACTCCTGTAGATTGTCTTCTGGGCTCAGTTATCCCTCCTATGTCTTTTCTCTATAAATCCTTTGTCTTTGACATTATCATCTATTAACTGTAAGCTGACAACTCTTAAATCTTATACACATTTGATAATAAAAGGTTAACAGCATGAAGAGATCATAAAAATATAAAAGTCAATGAGAAAAGTGAATAAAGATCATGAACACCCAAGGTTCAAAACTTACTAGTAATTAAAACATGCAATTTAAAATAACATGTCCACACCAAGTGCTGGTGGCTCACACATGTAATCCCAGCTACTTGGGAGGATCAAGGCCAATAGTTCTCAAGACTTGATCTCTAAAATAACCAGAGCAAAATGGATTAGAGGTGTGGTTCATGCAGTAGAATGCCTGCTTTGCAAAGAAGCACTGAATTCAAACCCCAGTTCTACCAATCTATCAATCAATCAATATAAAGTAAAATGTCTAGCTATCAAATTAGCAAGTTTAAAAAAAATTTTAAGATAACATTCCATTTTGTTGAGTGTATGCAGAAAAAGGCTTGCTAATTTAGTAGTAAAAATTCATACGGCCTTTTAGAGAAGCAAACGAGCATCATTTATGGAATGCTTAAAAACACTGCCACCTTTTAGCCTAGAAATATTTTTAGAAATTTATCCTAAAGAATACTACAAAATAAGGATTAAGGTTTACATAAAAAACATGTTATGTCATGTTTCTTGCAAAAGTATAAGCAACATAGGGAAGTTTTAATATCAAAAATTCCTATATTGGAATATTAAGTAGCTGATAAATTTCCTAAAAATTAACATAGGAAAAATATTGAGGCCGAAATTACATCTGTTAAGTATCAGAGTTAAACTAAACAAGAGGGGGAGGGGAAAAGCATAAATTTTCATTCTGAATAAACATACACAGTAATGAGAAAAATGGAACGTCCATCCACTATTATGATTTAACAAGATTATAAGGACTCTCCTACGTTTTTCTTCCTTTACTTTCTTTTTTTGGCAGTACCACAGATTCAACTCAAGGTCCAAGTACTCTACCACTTGAGCCATGCTGCCAGCCATTTATAAGTTTTTCTGTTTTCCAAACTTCCTATTTAGCTTGGATATACAACTAACAAGAAAAACAAAACAAAATGGAAAACACATAAAACATTCATTAGGTATGAAAAAAAAATCACCTCTTTTGAGAAGCAAATTAAATACCACCAATCTCTAAGCTAAAATATTTAATAAAATAATGTGTTATATTTTTTGGATCAATGCATGATCCCTTTTTCATTAATCCAGGACTATCATGTATTTTCATTTAAAATAAAAAAAGAGAGGTAATCTTGAAAGCTATTCTTTAGACCCATGCAGACACACATTGGAAAATTTTTGATGCACTTTCTTGCTGACCTGCGACTCTGAATAGTTATATTAAGTTTAGATACACATTTCTATCCAAAAATAAAATATTGTAGGGCTATGGGCATGGCTTAAGCAGTAGAGTACCTGCCTAGGAAGGATGAGGGCCCTTAGTTCAAACCTCAGTACTGCCCAAAAATGAAAAAAGAAAGTTGAAAACAGACTGCTTGAGAAGGGTTACAAAAAACAGCTAAGTTGTATTAAAAAATCCATGACTTTCAATTCTTTTTTTAAGATATGAGTTTAGATTAACACTCTGCCACTAGATTAACACTGTGACTTTGTACAAGTCACCTAATATTTTTAAGCCTCAATTTCTTTACCTATAAAAATAGGGCTGTCTTCTTATTAGACTCATTATCTGAGATAATGACATTTCTCTGAAAGAACTGTATAAGTTGTTAAAGCATTATTATTTAACAGGGACAGAATTAAACATTTAATAACTGAAAAAAAATTTAAACTGCATTTTTAAAACTAGACAGATTAACCAGGCTGATTTTAATAGTCACTGTCAAAACAGACATATTAGTGAGTTTCTTGTACTTACACATAATTATTTTTATTTATATCTACATTAAGACTGTGAATTTTCTAGGGAAATATTCTAAATGGTTGATAAATACCACCTACTTCCTCTCCAATGGAATTAACATATAAATTCTTTTTTATTTAAAGAAAGTGGTGAAGGAGAAAAAAAGTATTGCTGATAGAAAATTTTCCGTGGTTTTTGGGTTTCTGCACATCTTATGATTAAAGGCATTGATAGCTTTTGTTCCACCATTTTTCAGGGATTTCTTTTAAAAGAATACTGCCCTCCCCATTCCCCAAAGTTGGGTGAATTTTCTTATAGTTGAAGTTCTCCAACCCTAGTTCCTTACTGCTCCATGCTGCATCTAGGGATTTGAGGTCAAAGGGAACTTATACCAGAACAGCAGCTCATGCTGCCTGTTGTGTCTTCAGACAACATCCATGAAACCAAGGAAGTTAACGTGTTAACTTACAGGTGGCAAAATCTCAGAATTCTTAACAATTAAGTCAGTAAAATCTAAAACAATGCCAGTTTCCACACCCTACTAATTTTTCTATCAAAGTATCTCTATGGATATAGATTATTATAAAAGAAACCAATACCAGAGACTGACCGGAGTGTGTGTGAAGGAACCAAGGATCTGGAGTGGGATGATATGCTCTTTTCCATAATATATAATATATTCAAAAGATAATATGTATTACCTTTTAATCATACTGTATATCCTTATATTCCTACTCTGTATCTGTCATATTTATGACTATAAATTCTTGTTTGAATTTTTTTCTGCCCATTTATTACATTTACTTTTTAAAAATCTAGTGTCTTTAGTCTTTTCACTTCCTTACTCTCATGACTCCTTTCAGTTTCACTACTGTAACATAATGTAACATAACTGTAAGTCTTCCAGCTGACTTCTTCAATCCAAAACATTCTAATGTTACCAAATTAATCTTCAATTTTCTCCTCTTGATGGCAGATGTAGTGAAAGAGGACCAACACCAAACATGTTGAAGTATAGGAAGTGTCAGTTTTATAGTTTCTAAAAAGCACTGTTTTCCATATTCAAACATACCTCAGAAAATGGCGGGGGGGTGGGGGTAATCACTAGTATCTAATGTTCTATGTATGAAGAGATAATCTACCAAAGTGGCTTACAACCCAGCTCTGGCCAGTTTCTTCATCTGTAAAATCAGAGCATAACAGTATATATTTCACAGGTTGTTAAAACGATTAGAAGAGATATTTGACATGAAGTGCTTAATACACTGCCTGGCTGTGTTAAGTACTACCCCAGTGTTTACTGAACATTAGCTAGTATTATTGTAAGTACTATGTGTCAAGCACTAAGATTTTTACACATTATTTAAGCCTTAAGTTTCCTACAAGGTAGTATTTCCAGAAAAGAGAGATTTAAGAAAGTTATGAAAACTTCTCAAATTTATATCACCAATTAGTAGCAGAAAATTCTCCTTAAAGTCTAGGGCCTTATCACTACAAAAGCTACCTACTATCAGCTAGCTGAATGGAACTATTTGATAATATCAAAGTTCTAGAGGAACAGAGTTTATATAAGAAACTAAGGTGTTTAAAGAAGAAAATTGGGTATACACATATGTAAGGAGACAGAAATGAAGTGAAAAGGCCTGCCTGCCTCCTTGGCTTATAAAGCTC